GAACGAAAAATGATATTCCAAAAAGGGAAACGCCATTCTTCTTTACTTTGAAAAGCCTTTCAAATAAGCAGCAATTATTTTTTACTTCATAGGCACTTTGAATAGTTATTTTTTAAAGTCAAGTACATTACATACATTTCCTTCAATATCATTTTATTTATTTATCTCGAAAACAAATTTGGAATGATAGACAATCCGCTCAAAACCTTTGAAATATACCAGAATCATAAACACAATACACAATATAATATCCATTACTTTTTAGCAATTCAAGTTCTGGAAAAACTATACAAATATGAACTTATGTACCAATAATGATACTTTTCAACAATAACAAATAAATGAATCGCCAGAAAACTTGTAAACTCAACCATGTGCACGGCATTGGAGTTGATTTGGTGAGAGAGTTTTATTCTGCCATTAGCAAGTTACCATTGTATTCAATTCTTTCTCAGCCCTGAGCTTTTTCTGCTCTCCGTGTCTTCACCTGTTGACAAACCTCTACCACATGCTTGTCGTGGGCCTCAAGCCTTTCTTGCAAAGCTTTCAACTGTGCATTGCGTTTCTCCTCCGATCGTTCCAACTTCTGCTTCAACTTCTCCTGGCAAACTTTACTCTGTTCTTGGACCAGTGCATCCACAAGCTGCCGTGCTTGTTCAACCTTCTGAGACTTGATTTGCAGTCTCTCTTGGAGTAAGCGGATCTGAGCTTGTCGCTTTTCTGCTGTTGTTTCCATCTTCTGCTGTAAACTCATCTCAACTGCCTTGGAGTGCTTCTCGATGCTCTCCTGCAAAGCAGCCAACACTTCTTGAATGCGTTTTTCATGAGCTTGTCGACGCTCCATTTGAGCTTTGCGATGTAATTCAAGATTCTCCTTGGTCAGTGCTTCCTTCTGTTGAATTTTCTCCTCCACCTTTTTAGCATGACATATAATAATCTTCTTCAACTTTTCCTGCACTTCTTTGATGTGTTCATCCTTTGCATGCAGACGGTCAATGAGTGCTTTAATCTGACCTTCCTTGTTCTCCATATGCAAGCACATCTTTTGCTTGAGCTTTTCTTTCACCATTCTGCTTTGCTCTTCTTCTGCCTGCTGTTTGGTCAGCTGGACTTGATTGATGTACTCATTTTTCATAGCAGCCTTGGCCAATAATTCACCTTTACCACTCTGTATTAAGAGGAAACAAATATTATGCTATATTGCTGAAGAGGAATTTTTAGTTGTCATGACTGCAAGGCTGTGGTCAGATCTTAGGTTATCGTGGTGAATTATCTGAATCGTCATGTTGTCATCAAAATGTTTCAAACAGAAACTTTCACAGACTTTTTTCCCGAGTCTAAAAGTAGAATAGATGAGCTATATTGTAAGAAAAAAGTAACAGTAATCATGCACCTTAATTATGCAGGAAGACAAAATTTTTCAGATGACAGAGAAGTCAATTTTTTTATGATTATAAACTAAGTATGGAATACAATTCAAGGCACTAGCAACATCTTGTGCTTTGACATCTCAGTCTCCTGTTCACACAAAACATTTGACTATAAATACAATAGAGCACAATTTTAACACTACTCAACTGAATTAGTATAAAATGTGCAATGTAGCTACAATCTTGGTCAAAAGTAGCTGGGACACTTGAGCTGGATCAGGTATCCCCATTCCCCCCTAATCAATGTTGGGAAATGTTGACTGATTGTCAATCATCCTTAGTCCATTTTGCTCAGGGCATCTGTTGTGTGCCATCAAGGACACATTTACTTGGCTTTTAAAGACGTTCGTGCTAATTGTTACTGCCCATCCTTACTGCGCACCCAAATTCACACGCCATGTCATGCATCGAGCGCACACACTAAGTACTAAAACGAACAATGATAGGGCAGATGGCCATTGCTATAACTTTGCGTGGATTTAATGATCTTGGACATTCGGTGACCCCTACTTTTCTTACCAGAAACAGATTTTATTTACAATTATCTCCACACTGTCCAAAAATGGACAAAAAAATCAATGTGGGAAATTAAAAAAATTTCAAGATTTCTGTCCAGAGGGCATCGAATCCTGCCATCTTGCAGCTGCAAGGCACGTGAAAGTATGGTCGCTAAATGCGAATTTGTTCTTTAAGAAACCTCGTCAGTTGACTAACTTCACTTAATAGGTCCACTTAATTGGCAGAGAACATTTCACATAAAAGATCTAATTGCAGTATTTTTGGACTTACATACACTGTGGCCTTAAGGTGGCTGAACACAGTTTTTGATACCTGTGTTTCATTAACCTTTTCCTCTAAAACCCTTGATCTCTCACTCGCCAAAAATGGCAGCAAGCAAGTTAACAACACAAACTTTGGTTTTTTGATGGTTAAGCTGACGTATATGCCATTGCAATGGCAACACGAATAAAACTAAACAGGCCTTTAAAATTGGTTTTGTTTATCTGTAGAAAATCTAGTCATTAGATTTTCTTTATAATTTGTATGCATCAAGTTTGTAATGATTCTCACAAGTTAACACCATCTTGCTAATAATTTAACAGAGAGATCTTTAATTATCCCTTGTTGAAGGTTTACTGGAATATCTAGAGTTTCCTCTGTTAAAGTTCAATTATTTTCAATAC